TACATCCTCAATGTGTCTCAACGTACCATGTGTCTTTAAGAGAGCGGAAACTAGTAAAATTGTACAGATTAGGAACTGCCCACCCGCACATGTGTAGGATCCACCTCGCAGGAATCCGTGCAGTGTGTCTTGGAGGGAAACAATGATTACACCTTCATAACTTCGTTAGACAGGCGACAAATGTATCTTCGGCAGCTAATCAAATGTACACATCACGCTCCCTGCTAGATTGAGAAGTCTTTCAAAATCGGATCAAAATACCCAAATGCCAGACAACCTGGAGGAGTTAATGTTGCAAAATTTTAGTGCTATTCTCCGTTAAGACAGATGACGTGAAAAAAGGTCAACTGCTCAAAACATATGGTAGAATCTCCCTTCAATTGTTCAGCACTCCTCAACTGCAAAACTCGCAGACGTTAACAAATGCGGAGTAAAACCAGTTGCTAACTTCGTCACAAACGAGCTTCGCTATTCCGTTCCACCGAGTCTCACACCGGGATCGAGCGGATGGAACCTCACGAGATAGGAAGAAAGAGCTCTCTGTCCAGTTATGCGGTATGGTTTTGCCTTTATTCCGTTACCGAGCCCATCCATTCTAATGCATTCATGGAACACCAAAAGATTCACTGTAGTTTAAAGGACTGCAGTGCTCCAGCAGCTCATTAAGAGAAGCCTCAAGTAGAAAACGCCGATTTGCTCCAAATATTCCTACGTTTGCACCATCTCAGACAGTCTCAGCCATCCACTCAGCTTTATTTTACTGGTGTACAAATTATTCGGCCGTCTATACGACCCCGAACTGAGCGGCCAGATCAACAACATATGTGGTAATGAGTCACACACATCTGCAGGTGATTATGTATTCATGTCTTGCCAGTCTAAGATCGCGTGTTCAATAAGACAACATATGCACATCTGCTACAGCATCGGTTTTACCAACGGTGAATTGCTGTCATCATCGCTGAGACATAATCGAACCTGCCGATTGCGTCATGAATATTGGGTTCATACAAATCAAAAACATGGTCTTCCCATTATGCAGCCTACCTGTTAGTCACACATGATCCAAAAATTGCTGGTGATGAGTGAACAACATTAAATTCAGTCAGATGGAATCAGTGGCTGTTCTTGGGTATCGGTGGATGTTTTAAATAAGCCTCTAGTGTCGCTTAGAAACGTAGATCAGTGACACGCTCCAGACAAATCACAACTCTTTTATTCACTTGTTATTATTTTTTTGTTTTTACTTGTGACAGTACAGGAGGACACAACTTCCACAACCACAAGGAAACACCACTGAAATAATCGCGAAAGTTTTTACGACGATGTTTCCAGTTTACAGAGAGCCTTTTCGGAACAGCTTCCTTTATGAATCTTTCACGAGACAAAGTGAGGTTCATTTTCGTTTAGCAGCCCCATAAATGCTAAAATTCTGTAAACAAATGATTGCTAGTTCAATTCCTCACGGTGACTGATTTTGGCATTTCTGTAATTCCCAAATTTCTTAGGTTCGTACTTGACTGGAGCATCTGTCAGAACAAAAGCGTGTCCGAAGAAGGCACATCACGGAGCAGGATATGCCCCTACTTACGACAACTCCTGTGCCTTTCTCATTATCAATCGCAGAAAAAGCGCCATCAATGAAGACATCCCCTGTTGTTTTCTGTATGTACAGGACAAGTTGGATACAATGATAGAGGACTATCGATGACTGCTCAGTTCAACAAGCCGTGGGCTGTTGGGATCAGTGTTCCTTGAGAAATCTTTTCATTCATGCTTTTTTCGGCTTCCTCGAACTGCCCAGCGAAAATGAGCCCGTTTTCTTGATAAACGTACGAGCCCCCTCGCTACTGCGCCCTTTCATTAGTTTTTCGGGCCACTTAGGCCCTTCGGCTAGAAAGCGTGTTTCTCGGTTAGTGCCTCTGAGAGTTTTTCGCTGTCTTGTGTTTTTTGTTTTTATTCACTTCTGGCATCAGTTGGGGTTTGCTTCTTATTGGTTGCATTTTTTATAAGTACTGATGATCGACGCACACAAAAAAAAACAAATAGCCATGCAAAGAAATTGCTTTGAATGAGCTGGAATAAAGCTCTATAAACTGAAAGATGCCTTGACGGAACGCACCTTTCTCTTGATATTGACTAGAAATTCCGGATGATCACGGATGAAATATGGATGACTGAACTCGAGGTGATCCTGATCAGATTCAGTGCGGGCCAACGAGCCACGATCAACAGGGGTCATTTTCCGGAAACCGTCTGTAATAAACAGTTCAGACCAAAAAGTCATACACCAGTACAGTTTCTCACTTGTTCCTAAACAATCTGAAGAATATGAAAACAGACAACATTGTGTCAGTAGGAATAGACCCCTGCATGAAAACTAGTCATCAATAAATAGAAACTTACACATATTCAACTGCCGTATAAGACTATTCAGATTGTTATGCTTGAAGAAGTGTGGTAGAACATTGCGGCAAAACGAATACGGATCGATTATGTGGAAACTGTAGCCTGACTGAAAGTAGTAAGTATACTCAATTGTACCACTGACACAGCAAGCTGGAAAAATCAACAATACAATATTTATATCAAGGTTCCCGAGTCGGTTGTAACGGAAACAAGCAGTGAAGTGCTCCTAGGCCTGCTCAAAGATTTAGCTGATTATTGTGAAAAGTTTTCCCTAGTTAGAGTTCGGTAAAATCGGCGGCAAGGGAAGGTATACACATCGATTTAGCAAATTCGCAGTTTAGAGAATCGTCTGCAACGTGTTAAGAAGCGTGTGTGGTTCACCAACAACGTTTTGAGAAAGCGTTTCATTCGAACGACGGTCCAGCGGAAAGGATGGTAAATGTATCGATCGCGCAAAAACGACGATTCGCTCGACAGCCTATTCCTCAGAAGTGATTTTACCTCAGAGCCGATTCTACCAACCGAACTCTCAAAACCTAGAAGCGCCATCATATTCTAATCAATCCTTTCGCTCAAAACGGCACTTCTCGTAAGTGTATTCGCTGTCAACTTTGATTTTCCATTTAAATAGTATGGACGCACTTGGATGGAAATCGCACTGATTCGCTATTAGCTAGTGCCCACGCTGTTCTTCAAGCGGATTCGCTTCCTAAGAACGTCAATTAGATCATACCGTAAATTCCTTGCACAAGTCGCACCCAAATGGTGATCCTGATCAATAGTATACTTTTCTTTCGCGGTTATTCGCCGAATGTCTTACAGTCGTAGCTTTGAACCGGTCGTACCTCAATTGTAAGTCCCTATCTGCCCTCACTTAGTTATCACCACACTCTTTCTCCTTAATTGTCAGGTTCATTTTCGCTGCGGGAATTTCATCAACTCTCGCCATGCTTCTCGAAACCATACAGTATATAAAAGTTTTAGTTAAGTACATGTGCACGACGTCACCTTTTGTGGCGAAGTTGCAACAGGGTGTGCATATTTCGATCAATAAAAGGAAACGCGCGTTTACTGACACCAGTGCTTCTTTTATAGCTGGAGGACATCTCTTATCTGGAGAATCAATAATGGGCATCGCTCACCTCATCCATCGAAACGATATGCGAATTGACGATCTCAACGATCACTCCACAGCTTATCAAGACAAAGGCATTTTTCATCGTCCTTGAAATTCGGCCAGCGGTGCAACGCGCCCTGCAAAATAAACAAGTTGCATGAGTAGCGGAACATATATAAACGAATGATTCGTAAGGATACGGACTGAGGAAGCTTGGGCATGCCAAGGATGTCAGCCACTTGGTAATCAGTCTTTGAAAATTACAGCGATCCTATTTCATCTCACAACTTCATATCCAGTTATCCAGAACGCATCCCAAATGGGCAATGTAGCGAGTGCGAATAGTTAATTTCCAGTCCCGATGAGTTGACGGGACAGACGTCGCAAGCGTGACGTACGCAGTGTTCGCACCAGGACCCAACTCACTCAATGGAGCAGTGCTGCGGTGCGCCGACTCTATGAGCTCTATGCGCCTGCGTTTCTCAAATCGACTAGTAATTTCTGTGGCTGTATCTGTCCAGTCAGCTAGCTGGGAGTTACATGCTACGTCTCACGCGAGGCCTCGACTCAGGGAAAAAGGTGCACGCTAGTTCGCTGCGGATGGTTGGGCGTGTCAGGCAGTATGAGTGTGTCACGCCGTCAAAGCCGTTCTCTGCCTCTTGTTGAAGCGACAAAAAGTGGTAGAAAACGAGTAATACGAACGATATGATACAGTCATATCATTTGCTCGCTTTAACAACTGGTGGAGAACGGGTTTGGCACCGCGCCAAACTCATCCCGCCTGACACGCCCAACCGTCCGCAGCGAACTACACTATATAGTGTAGTTCGCTGCGGACGGTTGGGCGTGTCAGGCGGGATGAGTTTGGCGCGGTGCCAAACCCGTTCTCCACCAGTTGTTAAAGCGAGCAAATGATATGACTGTATCATATCGTTCGTATTACTCGTTTTCTACCACTTTTTGTCGCATGCGCGCTTCAACAAGAAGGCAGAGAACGGCCTTGACGCTGTGCACACTCATACTGGCTGACACGCCCAACCGTCCGCAGCGAAGTAGAGTGTATATACTTCATGTGAAGCAAGGTCGCAAATGCACACGCGAGATGCGCGCGAAGAAATTACGGCCCCATTCAGACATTTTTCGGTCCTAGCGTGGTTTAGCGAGGCCACGCGATGGTACGGCGCGTC